AAATGGGATGATTATTCCCATGGAATTTAAACTCATATCATTAAGAAAAAAATAAACCGATGCTTGTATTTGCCTAAACATCAGAGAAAATATAATCTACCATTTAAACCAAAGAACTAAAGAGTAGGTGTTAACATTCATGACTGAATATATTGTTATTTCTTTCTTAAACATATCACTAAAATCACTTAGATCTTTATGTTCACACAATACATTTATCATAGAAAAATATTAACTAATTACATAGGTAGTTTTATCAATAACTAATAATATTAATAATGTTCTTTAGACTAAACGAATTACTCTCTTAATCGGTCAGTACATTAAATATTGATTTCCAGTATTCAGGACACTTCACTTCATCTCATTAATATATAAATATAAAAATCTAAATTACATTATTTCAATAACAATGACATACAGTATTGTAATATCTAAGACATTCTTAATTCAGATAGGTTTATTAGACTGAGAAAAAAAATATACGATTATCTTGTGACCCATTTCAACCTACAAACATTGTTTAATTATGAAATTTCATTACATTACCTTGTTACATTTGATTAACTAAATCGTATGTCAATTATAGTTTGTTTACAATATTATTTATATCAGAGTAAAATAACAATTGTGTTCTATGGGGATACAAATAATTAGTGATTAAATATATCAGAAGGGGTTTTGTGGAGATTTTAATAATTTCAATAGTTGAAATCATGAGTCAATTGAAGCTAGACCACTATGGAAAACCTGTGACTGACTTAAGGAGGCATTTCCTGGAGTTCTAGTGAGAAGTCGTTATCAGTGGAGTTCAACTAAGTCGGTTGTGAGATATCAGCTCACTAAAGACAATGGTTTACGGTGGCGCTATTTCGTGGATTAGTTGAAGTTAGACATTAACACCGTTGGATGCTGGCCGGCTCAGTGGTCTAGTGGTTAAGCGCTCGGGTGCGAGACTGATAGATGCTGGGCTCGAATCTCGTGGGTGGCGGGATCGTGGATGCGCACTACTGAGGAGTCCAGTACTAGGATGAAACGGCCGTCCAATACTCCCAGATTTTCCATGGTGATCTAGCTGCAATAGACTCATGATTTCATTGTAATGTAGTTTAATTGTTAAGTAACGTGTACTACATACTTTATGTTATTAAATGAAGAAATTTTATATCATATTTGTCATTAAAATTCGAATTTGTTAGTTTTCATAAATTAGGGTTGAGAATAAACGATTAAACTAATGATTAGAGATTTTAGTTATATAATCAATGAAAACTAAAGGGGATTAGATGATCGTTTCATTTCAACATAGGATTCTTCAGAAGTACTTATTATTTATGTAGAAACCAGAATTGTCAGGTTACTTTTAGATCAATGACTTATCATCGAGTGGTGAATATTTTAAACTTTAATCAATGAACATTTATTAACTTGACATTTAGGTTCTAGACTGTTTGTCACAATAATAATATTAAAGTCATAATGGTCTGAAACATCAAGGTTTTGAAGAATAAACATGGACTAGTTATAAATTCAATCACAAACTGTGTGCATTTATCATAATACAAGATTTTCGTGAAATGTTTTGAGATAATGAAGCATCCAACAAAGTTCTAGTGATCAACGGGATCTGGTTTGAGAATTTAATGAGAAAAATATGTTTAGTTTCAATTGATATAGTAAAAAAAGGTAAGGGTCTTTCATGGATGTTGTTTTCCTAAATCACTACTGATTTTCTAATAGGCCATAGAAGGCGAATAAAAATTCCAATTTGTTGGCGGTGTAATATATGTATTACATACTTAGGCCTATTACAAATTTTGGGAATATAGGTCGCCCACCAGCATTCTCCAACCAATTCTGTCCTGAGTTCTCCCTTCAAATCCCTATTTATTAGTTTGATGTGTACCTCCTATTCCCGACGCAATGTACTCTTTAGCCTTCCATTTACCTTCAAAAGACTGATATAGGGCTTGCTTCTTGGTTCAGTTCGATAATTTCCGTAATATATGCCCTATTCACTTTCAATGTCTTTTCCTAATTTCCTCTTCAGATGTAAGCTGGTTTATACTCTGCTATAGTACGTCGTATCTGGTCAACAAACTTTGAATATCTTGTACCGTAATTGTACTTTTTTGACCATAGTTGTAGTAGTTCTCCAAGTTTCAGCCCCGTACAACAGGAAATTCTTGACGTTTGTATTGAATATTCTTAGTCTGGTGTTGTCTGACAGTTGTTTTGAGTTCCATGTGTTATTTATTTTTAGGAATGCTGCTCTCGCTTTGCCATTCCTTGCCTTTACGTCTGCATCGGATCCTTCTTGTTCATTGGTGATGCTTCTCAGATACGTAAAAGTTTTAATCAGTTCCAGAGATTCTCCATAAAGTGTGATTAGGTTGGTGCTGTTTGTGTTGCATTTGAGGATCTTGCTTTTTTTAGTGTATGTTGGAACCTACTACTTCGGAGACTGCTAATACACTTAATGCTTTCGCCTACTTAATCACTCATTCGTTGTATGTTAATCTACGTGATATATCTTCTGTAAAGTGTAGATTAAAATTGATTCCATTAATGTATCATGAAAAATAAAATTCGAGCAAATATAAAAACAACCTTCAGTTTATAATGTGGATTATAGTTAATCATCTATTGTTCCTTTTCTAGGTTGGACGATTATTTATTTATATTCTTTACAATTCTCTCATCTGCTTAATTCTATTGGTTTAATTTTACATCACCTTACGTGACCTACTCATCAGGTGACTTCATTTAAGCGTTGATTTGTTTGATTTCAAATGTTATTACTGTATAGTTGTCACATTAATGCTTCGACTTTGAAAATCATTACCATTCCTTTTAACTGCCTGTGAGTGTCTATAAATTTGTTCTCTAAGTTGGATGGTTTGGTCGTGGAGCTTTCATCGTCTTTCTGATAATAATGATGTGAAGTCAGGTGAACCAGATTCGTAGACAGTTAATCTAATCTAAATGCAATCTGTATATGAGCTATCTTACTGAAATCTTGACTGAAGTCATCATAAGAGAAGGTTTAATATAAATTGTGAGGACAACATACTTTAAGATAATAGCATTAGATATTTTGATACTGTAACTCATTTGATACGTTATACTACTGATTTCTAGTTTTAATTATCAAATTGTCCTAATCTTACTCTTCTGTTATTGCTAGCATTTATTGATTGCTTTCATCATGAAATGATTTGCATTCTATGACCTTAGTGAGTCATCTGCTCATACTTTCTCTCATTCAGATTTTTCACAGGGGCTGCCACTCCCACTCCTCCAACACACAGCGTAACTTCTGCTAGACACTTACTTACATGCTGAACGCTACAATACTTTTGCATTTTAAAGACTATATATATATATTAAAAGATACTTGTGGCTATTTCAGTCACCCACAATCAAAAACGCCTTTAGATGGGAAGCATATCCTGTCTTAAAAATAATAAGGGTCAGCTGTTTACCAAAATCCTTATTTATATTCTTGATCAAATGAAAAGCTTTAGTAAAAGCACCGTCAATAATCTTCAATAGTCCGAATATAATGGAATAGTAAAGAAAAATTACTATTATCGTCGTCTGGGCCTAGTGAACCCCATAAATTATTTATAATAATTTGAATACATTATTTCTTGTTTTCTATGTAAACTTAGTTGCTCACTGAAAAATTCTCATCAACCAAAGGTAACCATTTTCATTTTGATAATGATGATGAGATTTCAATATGGACTGTATGAATCACATTCAAAAAATAAAGCATTCTAGTATTGATTAGGGTGATCGAAATATTACAATATTACAATAAAGCTTAGTGAAATCTTCTAGTTTCACTTTTGTTTACCACTTTCAATTTTCAAGTGACCATATGTATACACACAGATAGTGTGTAAATGTTAAGAATATTGTAAATGTTTTGTGAAGTATGTTGTTAAGTGTAAGAATAAAAGTTAATAGTAAATTGTATGATTGATTTGTTATCATTTCAGTTGGTAAGTTGTTATAGGTAAATTTTCAACAGAGTCACGTCAACCGTATGGTTTTTAAGACTATTAACCCTTTTATTTAGAAATTGGTTTGATTTTCTTAGTTGTATTCATCACAGGATGATCTCAGTTTGAACACCATTTAATATTAGGAAGCACTGAACATACGTTTGATCCTAATAGGAGAGTATCAATCAGCTTACACATAAAATCACAGATGGAATTAAATAAAAACTTGAAAGTTTCATGGAGAATTCTGAAACGTTAGATTAACAGTTTCAGCGTCTAAATGTACCATTATCAACTTCAGAAACTTCGCTATGTGGTGCGACTACCAACCAATGACTCTGGTGACACCTGTTTAGACGTCTACAGGTTGGAACGTCACAAGTTAGAACTTTCAACTAGAACGTAAGAAATATATAGAGAAAGCCATTTTAAAGTTAAAAATATAGTTTAATTGAAGTGACTCCAAGCAAATTGGTTTAATTTTTAAAATTTATTAGTCACATTGTTAAGAAATGCCTCACTAGGATTAAACGCTTATACAGTAATGTGTAGTTTTCAACAACACCAAAGTGCGGTAATCTGTGAAAAATAAGACTTGTGCATTTCAAAATATTCTTAAGCTCGCTAATTCATTATCGATTCATTCAGTGTGTAGAAAGCTAACACATTTTGTGTACTATGGAATTTCTTTATCCGTCACAAAATAAACAACTTCCCAACGTTATCTAATACTACATGGTTACTTTCAAATGTATTCTGAAAAATAACTGTATAGTATAATCTCAAAAGCCAACACAATAAATCGCCATTCACTCACTATATAAAAACATCATATGCCATTCATCTCGTCGATTTGGTTGGTCTATAACATACTCCCAACATCAAAACCTCAAAGTCAACTAACTCACTTATTTACTACTTCAAACAGGTTGTCCACTTCGACTTCCTCACATTTTCAATGACAATAAGAAACCTAGTGAGAAAGTTGGGAGAATCACTCATTTAATGATAATAACAACAATACTGAGAAATACATGAACGACATAACAATGAATAAACAGTTCAACTGAAGTCGTGTTTATTCTTTCAGTGTGATCTTGTCGAATAAATATTGACCAAGTCCACTTCCAACTCGATCTGTCTCTGTCACATAGTCAGCAAATTGTTTGATTGCATCTTCTTGTTCATGCAAATACTGACTCTCAATGAAATCGGTCAGTGCTGGATCATTGTTCTTCACAGCGATTTCATGAAGTTTCAATAATGACTGTAAAAAGAGAAGAAACAATAGAACCAATGTATGTAGTGTATTTCATGTTGTCATTTAATAGATTAGTATTTCATTTTCACAGTGAATTGTGACTCACCATGTCTATGAAACTAACCAAATTAAAATGTAACTTCCACATGTGTCAATTTAATATGATACATTCCAGTTTCATATTACTACTCAGAGATAGAAATGTAATGTACCAAAGATGATGGTCAATTCGACAGTTGAGAATTGCACGTATTTTAAAGTCAGTGATGTGAACAGTTACACAAACATTAATATAAAATCGAAATATATTTTTAAAACCAAATAATCATTTTCGATTGTCGGTTAACGATGATCTAGTTGTAAATAGATTATGATTCAGTGTACCACTCACCTCATTCACTGCCTTCTCCATCGACAATGCAGTGTTCATCGCATCCTCCAAACCACTGAATTCTGTCTTAGTTGGACACTTGATATCACTGTATTGAACACGACCACCACGTTTGTTCTGATATTTGGCCAATTTCTCTGCATGTTCACGTTCTTCATGTGAAGCTTTTCGAAAGAATTCAGCTGCTTTCGGAAATGACACATCATCTCGATCGAAATAAGTGAAGAATGCCATATAATCATAAGCAGCCTGTAGTTCCACATTGATTTGTTTATTGATGGCATCTTCACATTCTTTGGCGAAATTCTGTCTGGCTTTCGATTCGGTGAATATATTTTTGGAAGCTGTTCTGTTCATTGTGTTAGATTCGATGTAGAAATGATCGTTTGAATAATTTATCGAATGATACAGTGATATGCATCTCTTCGCCTTTTATACTTGTGAATCAAACTGACACGTGCTACTAAATGAACTACAGTCGAATGATAGAGAACTCGTAAATGACGCATGATGTTGGTTGTTTACATTTGAAGTGAATGGCTATGCACATAACTCCACTCTTTCAGTTTGCGTATAAATAATTTTGTGATTATTTGATTGGTAAATGATAAATTAGAAATTTTGTTTGATTGTTTCACATATTTTCATAATTTTTGTTGTATTTTTTGATTGGTTTTTATATGAGAGTCGATATTTCATACATTTTCATGATTAATTTGGAATAAGTTGTCTCATATATATGATGTAAGTGACTAATATGGAAAATAATTTCTGATTATTACATCACTTGATCTAAGGACGCTTGTTCTGAATCGATGAAGATCCTTCTGTGATGAAGTATTCTTCTGCCTTTTCCATGATTTGTGATGTTCAATTATATGTATTTTGGGTGAAATGATCAATAATTCTATTTCAATATGTGTGATAGAAGTTGTTTTCACTATTCTTATGTGTTCACATTTTCAATGTAGATCGTTGGTTCGAAGCCCTCAGTCTAAACTGATCATTAAATTTCTTATAATCACGGTCTTTTTGTTCATGCATTTAAGTCATTTTGATCATTTCTTATAATCTCTCATAAAGTGGTTTATAAAACCAGTGAAGTATATTTAAGTCGTTTATGGTATGCATAATTTGTGAATATTGAAATCCTGAAGTAGAACAATATGGTCAACTCTATATTACAGAGATATATAGCTCACCTAATTGATGAAAATAATCTATATAATTTCATGAATCCAACAACCATTCAAACTTGAAGACGTTCTGTCAGTTTGTTTAGCATGGAGGTTTGTACTAATGTTAATTTGTTACGTTACCCTCTAAATCCTAAACGAACAACAACCTCCGAATAGTTACATTCATACTTTATTGCAAATTTACAGAGTGGCTTAGTAAAATATGAAAACTATACATTAAATACATTATTTGCACATCTTCCTTCCGTTGTCCTTTTCATGCTTCATAATACTTTCAATTCTGTTATTATTACAATTACTTTCTGTTTACATTTCTTGTTCTCTTCACTTTGGTTTTCTCAATCTTCAACTACCACGGATTTCACTTCTGATTGATGTTACATACTATTTATATCTGTCAACATAAGTAACACACACCACAATACCACTCTTGAAGCAGACCTCTAAAATCCAACCTCTTTACAACTCTTGAACATTAAACCAGTGAGAAGGTGGAAATACTATTATAGCATTGTGTCAGATTTCGTTGAGGGTAATAAAACATATTTTATTTAAATATTTTACAAACAAATTTGGAATTCTGAATTTTATTTAAGTAATAATTTGCAAATCTTATGATTCGAAATCAAACTGACTATAGACATATCTGATGCTCAATTTACGAATGATGTTTATTGTCTTAAAGTGTTTGAATACTTATCAACTTTGTTGTGTTTGCATAAAACATTGACTACACCTCTTGACAATGTCAAGAAACATTTTAGCTTGAATTCTATTTTGAATAACAGTTCCTTTAAATGAATTCATAGGAACTTGAAGATAAACCATTAACGCTATCCAACAAAAATACAACCAATCAATAAATTACATATTACTTACTTATACCTGTTACTCCTAATGGAGCATAGGCTGCAGACCAGCATTCTCTAACCCACTCTGTCCTAGGCCTTCCTTTCTAGTTCTATCCAATTTTTATTCATTTTTCTCACGTCTGTCTCCATTTCTTGACGTAATATGTTCTTCGGTCTCCCTCTTCTCCTTTGGCCTTGAAGATTCCATGTGAGGGCTTGCCTTGTGACGCAGTTCGGTGCTTTCCTCAATGTGTGTCCTATCCACTTCAAGCGCTTCTACCTGATTTCTTCGTCCGCTGGGATCTGGTTTGTTCTCTCCCACAGTACGTTGTTGCTAATAGTGTCCTGCCAATGGATCTGAAGTATTTTGCGTAGACAATTGTTAATAAACACCTGTATTTTCTGGATGAGGGCTTTCGTAGTTCTCCAGGTTTCTGCCCCATACAGTAGAACTGTCTTGACATTTGTATTGAAAATTCTGACCTTGGTGTTGGTTGACAGTTGCTTTGAGTTCCAGATGTGCTTCAATTGTAGATGTGCTGCTTTTGCTTTTCCGATTCGCGCCTTCACATCTGCATCAGATCCACCCTGTTCATCAATGATGCTGCCCAGATATGTAAAAATGTTTACGTCTTCCAAATTTTCCCCATCAAGTGCGATTCGATTGTTGCATGCTGTGTTGTATCGAAGAATCTTGCTTTTCCCTTTGTGTATGTTGAGACTTACTGCTGCTGAGGCTGATGCTACACTGGTCGTCGTCTCCTGCATTTGTGGTTGCGTGTAATAAATTACATATCTTGGCGTATATTTATCTAGCTGATAAGTTTAGGTATATCTAACAATGAAATCCAAAGGAAAGTATATTTATCTATGTGATTTATATAATCTACCAATTTATAAAAGTAGTAACCACGTTCGTAAGATCATCAAACAAATTCTATTTATATAAGGGTTTGTATAGAATAGTGAATTTATATACTTTACCTCATAGACTAGTGTTAGTTACACAAACACATGAAACAAGAAATAACATTTCTGTTTAACTGACTTTATACATATGTATACTATGTGAGGCCGGGTTACGTTTCTGAAGGTAAAGTACTCGCATGCTAGAGTTAAATATCTTTGGTTCTATCCTCTCAGGAATCATGGGCGCTCTCTAGTTAGGAGCTCCATACCAAGACGAAATGGCTACCCAGAAATTCCTGGCTTTTCTTAGTTGTCCAACTGAGATTAGTTCATTGTGTCAACGAAGGAGATTGATTATTTATTGTACTATACGATTTATCCCCAAGTTTTCAACGCACATATTGTATTTGAAATAGTTATTCATCACGTTACAACTCAGTTTACTGTAGATCCAATGAGTATTTATCTCGTGTAATAATTTTTAGTGACAAATTCATGTTTTTTGACCAAGCTATTCATGGTAGTGTTAAATGCGTTGGATGAATCTAAAATGATTATGAGCAGCCAATTCACATGCCAGTTCAGCTTTATCTCAACAAGATGAACTACTTTCAATTTGTAAGTAGACGGAATAATTAAAACAATTTATAGGTTAATGATAACAGTGAAATAGGTAGACTTTTCGAAATATTATTCTAACAACATCAGTATTAAGTTATTGTTTGAATATTAAGTAATTTAGCGATTAAAATGGAAATGTTTATTTCCACTGAATGAAAAAATTATGGTAAACAAATAATGGTGTTTAGATTATGAAGACTGTCCATGAAAATTAGAAGGTAAACTACAGTAAACATGAAATTCTAATGTCTCACAAGTTAATTCATTTATTGATGCTGATGAACACATTCATTTCAAGCATCACTAACAGATCAAGGTAAGTATACAAAAATAAATCCATACCATTTATGAGACATTCTCAATAATGTAATAGATTTTTTCCCATAGTTATTAGACAGTATGACTTGTAAAATATTGATTGGTTAATGAATGCAATAAAGATGTTGCTACACTTCCTTTTGTTGACGCTGTTTAACACGTATATTTCAAGTATTACCAACAAACGATTATTCTCAAGTTAATGCAAATTTCAAATCTAAGTATGAGTTTGCATGATGCTAAACTGATTCGTTGTATTAGAACTTGAATGATAATTAAAATACATAATAAAATGTTAAGTAGTTAAGCCCTACTTACTGATATACTGATACACGAAACGTGTTTGCTTTTCTGATTACTTTGTAGTGTGGCGTCGAGTCGCGGTTGACTATGATCACCACTACAGGAAGACTACGTACCAGTTAACCGATAAGATCCCCATAAGCCAAATATCAGAAGGCAGTTGATGACTGTAGTCAAGATGTATTTGTTGGCGGTCTCGTAGTATGGAAAGAATACCGAGATTGTGCCAAGTTACAAGTGTGGTTACTAAGCGTAACCGAATTTGTGCAAGGTCACAATCAACAGAAGAAAGTATGTATTCTGGTACAGTTAAACAAACAAGTACGGTAAAACAGTCCCTGGTACAATTGGTTATAATAATAATTGGTTCCATTACACCGATCACGTTCTCTTGATAAATGTAGGTCACTACAACTTCAAATAACTATGTTCATAAAAGTAAAGTCTATGAAATTGAGGTTGTCAAAATGAAAATTTTCCTCTTCGAATTAACTGTTTATTGTGAGTGCAATTTAAGTCCTAATTAATTTACATTTCTGATGTATTGATTATGCATTCCATTTCAATTTATATTCTAAACGGACAGTTGGTCTCATCACATAGTCATTCATTGTCTAAGAGAAGAATTATTGAAAGGTTTTGGTGAAAGTTGGTTTATTCTCTGAAAGATTCAAAAAACACTTTCAAATTTTCATTCTACCAGACGACTTGTTTTATTTGTTTACAAAGATTCTTTAATTCAATAAAATAATTCTTGATTAAATTACATATGAAGTCAGTTGAAACTCTGATCTTTGTCTTCTCAATACACTTAGTTTCATTCTACTTCTATTGGAAGAATATTACTAAACGATTTTTTTCAGTGCAGATACCTTGATTACGCACGCCCGACTGATAAAATTTGAAACGGTAACCTAATCATTAACTCTGTTCATATTGTTTTATATGCAATGTGATTTTTTTTTCATTGGACATTTAGTACTCAATTTTATCCTTTATTGATACATAACTCATAATTTAGTTTAGATTTGATAATATGTGGATTGACGAAAGTTGTTTTTCAGACATCATGATAGAAGTTTTTTTATCATATAGTAGAATGCAAAACATTTTTGAGTGTAAGTTGTTCATTGAAATGATGGATATTGTATTTCGATAGATTGTATTTAGTAAACTGAATTCTAAATGTAGCAAGTGTTAGTGTAAGTAATATTCAAAGCTTATTTGTTACTTCAACCTATATGATGTGTTCTTGCTTTTTTTGTACGTTAGATTAGAAGTAACACTAGAGGGGCTCTAGAGTGAAGTTAATGAAATACATGTTTGAGAATATCTTTGTTGTGTTGTTTTGCTATCATTCACTATATTTCA